TTTTTTTTTTTTTTTTTTCAACGACCCCTGCGTAATGTGGCTGCATGAGTGCCGCATCTGGCAGGATGAACCGGCATGCTGGTTCACAAAAAATACAGCCAGGCAAAAATCGCATCGCATGCCCAGCCTGTTTTGCCTGGATGTCCTTTTTGTGAACCATTGCATCCCGTCCTGTGTGGCATGCCCGCAGCTGGGTCGCATTGCCGATTTATCGAGCCATGTGTGAAGGAGAACCCCTTTTTCTTTATTTCTTTGGAAATGGGCCGATATTCATTAACTTGCTGGAAACTGGGTCCGGTGTCCCTTGCATAATGATCCACTCTATGCTTCTCTCGATTATGGTTGAGAGAACCCGAGACAGCGGGATTGATTACTTCCTCGACAGGAAAGAAGGATTTACCTCTGCTCCACCCCTGTTTGTCCTGTCTGCTACTGTTTTGGAAACTTCTACTCTCGGTACTTTTTTGGCTCTTCTCTGACGAAAAGACCCATCTGTTGCTTGTCCTGTCTGCATAAACCACTAGTGCCTCCGCCAGTGTTGGGAAATTAGGGAAAACTGGCAGTTTTCCGGAGGCCGGGCCCGACGACGGTTGCCATTGATAAATCTGATCGGCGGCGGTCGTTTCGTTTCGGCCATCCGAAAAGGTCGGAGGCCCACCCGAGGCCCGCTATTTTCCCACGCGGCAAAGGTACTAGTGGTTTGCCCAGGGTGTTGTAGAGGCAATCCTTCTTTTCTTTTTTCCTTTCTTTTCCCTCAAACGCGAGTTTAACTTAGCACCTAACATTGTTTAGAAGGAACTCTTGGAATTCTCATGGCTGCATGGCGCATGTGGTGCTTGTACGAAAGAAACCAACAAACATTCGGATTTAAACAGGCAAGGTCCACTATTGCCAACACCATAACAGCTCAGATTCACGAAGCCTGGAAAAATCTCAGGTCCAGGCTCAAACAAGAAATGGACGAGACAAAGCGGAGGCAATTGCTAGAAAAATTCCGCAACACACATGGGTGGATCAGACCCAGAGACTGTGCACTCTGGACCAGCAACATAACCTGCAGTGGCAACCATGGCTCTCTAGGGAGAGGCGGTGGGAATTCCTCCCCACGGACCACTTCACTATAATTGAATTTCAATTTTCAACCTAAAAATTTATCACTGACTCCCAGCGATCCTTAGGAGGGGGCCAACCAAGCCCTTCATAATCAGTATGTGTGCGATGCCCGTCTGACTCAACTTCCTGGTTCCCCCCCAGTGCCCCCCCCCTCCCCAYGCCCCGCCCCTCCCCCGGCTTCCCTCCCTCCCCCGGCTTCCCTCCCTCCCCATCACCCCCCTATCTCCCTCCCCCCACAGCTGGCCAGGGGGAACTCATCCCGAAGGAAACAGTGAATACAGCACCGTTCAGCTCCAAAAGAATGCACTTACAGGCGGGCTGGCCATCCTCTGGGAACATAGTCGGGGCTAACGGGGGCTTATCGGTTCCTATCTGCTCAGCTACAGAATGGTATGGTTAGAGGAAGTTAGGGGAACCAGCAACTATGGGTGTTTACAAGAGGAAGACTGAGGGGTATGAAGAAGGGGGTTAGAAGGGTTTAGCAGGGTTTTGCAGGGTTTTGCAGGGTTTAGCAGGGTTTTGCAGGGTTTTGCAGGGTCTACTAGGCTTTAAAAGGACTCTTTGAGTCTTTGGGGGTTCCAAGTCACGGGAAGCGGGTCGCACACACAGAACTGGAAGGCAAAACGGGCTTTCAACTTTCAAGCCCATATAGGAAGCACACACCACAATATGCACAATTGTGCACAACTGTTTAAAATCTCTCACAAACATGCCCGAAACTTATCACAAGCATACTACAATCATCTACAACAGAAAACAGATAGCAATCGTCTGCATCACACGGAGTGATACTGGGATGCTGGACATATTACAATCAGCAACAACGGAAAACAGATAACAAACGTCTGCATAAGACGAACTGATACTGGGACGCTGGATCCAGTTTCCAGCAGCCTGGGGGGACTCAGTTCTACAGAGACGCTGGACACGATTTCCAGCAGGTGCTGCTGCCCACCAATAGATGGAGCCTTCGACACCAGGACCTGCTAAACGGGAATGCTCGCACCACCCCTTTTAGCACGGCCATCTGGGACATGAAGTTTAATTAAAACAGAAAGGCCTTTGCTGGCACATGATCATCAGACAAATCTGCAATCATGTACTCAAGGGACACTGAGCCCATTTTCCAGCAGGTGCAGCTCCCCACCAATAGAAGGAAGCGGCCCCTAACTGGCCTACTCGGGGAGGTTGCTCATATCAGCCAGGAAGTCATGCTAACCAGACATGTGGTGTCAATAAGTCTGTTCTCTGCCTATTTATGGTGCGGTAGACTTAGGTAGAGACTCGCCAGAGCCATAACTTGAAATATGATCTGTTTCTGAACAGCTTCATGTTCGTACCATTCAAACACAAAAGCCTGGGTTTCAAGTTTCAACCTCCTTCTTTTTTTTTTTTTTTTTTTAATACAGCCCCAGTGCTCAAGGCTGATATTACCAATACCATTTATGTCCGTACTGTTTCCGAAACTTCTGGTCCCCTTACTTCATTGACTCGTGTCTAAGGAAGGGGAAAGTCCCATTTATTCCATCTTTATTTCCTTTTCTTTTTCCCTCCCTCAAGAGCCAGTTAGTTCCTTGCTGGACCCGGGGAGGGCGGCACGGCACGGTCGTGGGGGCCGCTGTCGGCACAAACACCCTTACGAAGTTACAAGGGTATTTGTCAATGTTTTTGCAGGTCGCATGAGCTGCATCTGTAGTGATGATTGAGGCAGTGGCACATTTATTTTTGCGCAGCCTGCAACTGACTCTCAGAATCCGGGAAGACGAGCATGCATGTGGTAAAGGTCAGAGAGTGTGTGGGCGTGCACTTTGGGGCGCGTGGTTATTACCTCAACGTCCGATGATTCCACAATAAGGCAACAGGGTTAGTGATCCTGAGAAGTAATGTGGACTAGTGAAATATTATATTTTTATTAGTATGACCGAGCGCACGCAGTGTACGCGCATAGAGGTCGGCATTGTCATGGCCATCATCAAGGTTGACTGCCAGTGTCGCTACTAGAAGTGATTACCATTGATTTATTTGAGGCTGTGCTTGGGTCCGCATAGTACAGAGTTCGTAAGGTGAGTTGGCTATCGGTAGCGGCCTCCTGCAGCCTCGGCAAGGCATACGTAAACGGAGTCCGACAAAGGTAAGAAGCTGGGAGTTTTCGCCGGTTTGAAGTAGTGAAATCGTCGGCCAAATTGGTAAAGGTGTAGTTTAGGAAAAGTGGCTACTTTGCGGAGGCCAGCATCGACGACGGCACGACATTTGTAAGGTGGATGGCGTATGCGGGGCATCTAAATAGGGACCGAGCGTCTGCACGACAGAGGTCGGGGTTCGACGGCCGTGGGTTTGACCGGTAGACCAAGGTGTTGCCTCGATTGTGTTTCGGTGGGCCCACACACGGCGCATAAACCATTTATATAGAATTTTGTGCCTGCTAAGCTCAGACTTGGGCCTAGCCCTATATGTTATAACATCGGAATTTCAAATTGCAAATATGGGGATCGAGGTCAGCAAGCGACAATGGAATAATGGAGCGCGATTGGCCAAACTGAGAGGTTGAAGATGCCACGGGGCTATCCCTTTCGGTTTCGTCTTCGGTCCAAGGCCCAAGACCAGCTGATGGGACTGAAAATGTACCAGCGGTTCTCTTCCCCTCACCTTTTCATTTTTAGTTTTAATTTATTTTACTATTTATTAATTCTAGTTCCGTTTTGGGATGTGAGCTCTGTGGTGGTACTACAGAGACCGGCCTTCAAACCAACTGGCCTAGCTCAGTTTGTACACCCCTGAACTACTGAAATACAGACCTGTCAGTGAGTTCGAATTCCACTGGAATGAAATACTGCAATTCTGACTTAGTTGAGGCTGGTCGGCCAAATGATGATGTCCCAAGGCCGTGGTCGACACTTGGTCCTTTGGGACATCCGTTAAAATTGGAATGATACGGGGGAGATTAGCATGACCTTAGATTTAACCTTACTATTTTTGAATGAATCTTAGGCCCAGATAAGGGCAGAGTCATTCAGGTACAGAGTAACTTAACAACCTTCTTCTACAGTACGGGTCGGCTCGGACACAGCTCTGACACCTTGCGACCTGATGATAGTCGAGCTGCCAGTTCGCTTGAATATCGACCAGTTCGCTCGGACTGACGGGAAGGAGAAA